AGTTGCCCACCACTGACTCAGTCAGGACGGCCCCCAAAGTGCTAGTGACATAAGACTAATTAGTGAACTTATTAGTCCTCTTCTAGTTGCACATTATAAATCACTTTTTTTTGATAACTATTGTATGTAATTCAATATTGGAATATGCCAGGAACGGATTTTCCATAAGTGAAAACGGAGAATATGGCTTACCAACATGTTCAAGGATGTTCGTCCACAAAATCTCGCATTTGGTTGGATGCCATAGTTGGCTATTATTATAAATATGTAAAAACAGATAATTTCGGGTTTGCAGATTGTATCAAGGGAACCATTTTAAAGCACTACTATATGACTAAAATGTAGCAAAACTTTAATGGCTTAGTGATGTATTGTAAAATTGTCGATATATAAATTCAAAAATAAAATATATGAAGGAAAAAAATCTTATAAGATCATTAAGATCAAGTTCAAAAACCAGGATATCCGGATATCCATTAAATTTTAAGATAATAGATCGCATCTCTATCAAAAAAAACACCATGAATAATAAATTTTTCATGAAATTGATATTGTTAAATTGACTACTACAAAATTAGTAAGTCATGTACATTAATATTTTGGTTAATATTTTTATAACCTTTCATATTGATTGATAATATGAGTAAAATTTGATAAATTATTGTTAAATTAATATCAATATTGACCAATGATTTTAATACTTGTGTAGTACAAAATTTTATTAAATTTTAGGTCATTATAGATCATTAGAAATTATGATTGCTATTAACATAAATTATATTTAAAACATGTACTTAGTACAAAACATTTTGCAAGAACTTATACTAAATACTTTGTACTTACTAAAATAATCTACAAAATGCATCTTTAAATAACCAAAGTTGAATATGTATTTTTTTTCAAATTCTGAATACAGGCTGACAAACTCTACTTGTTATATTCAACCAAAATAGTGCTTTTAATTTTCCTTTGTTCACCAGAACTCAAAAGTTTAACATATTAGCAAATATTAATAATTTAAAAGTATAAAAGAATTAAATATATCTTCATTCAACTTTGATCATTTCCAAATATTTGACAATAGCCAACCGATTTCAAATCCATGCCCTTGGCTAAAAAAAAAATGACTGGTTGTTATATATCCAATTATGTCATCTACGCATGGAGGGTCTAGTAGGAAATTTCAACATCCAAAATCTTGACATTTAAGATTTAAAGATTTGTAATAACATTAAAAATAATTGTCAAACTTTAAATTTTTAATTGTCACTTTGCATGATGTCAGTATTATGGCTTGTCGAGATTTGGATGTTGGGATTTCCTACTAGACCCATGCATAAAATATCCTATAAATAGTATAAATACATTGCAAAAAAAGCTCAAAACCAAAGAAAACATAGATCCTCAATTAAGTGCATACCAGTAACCTTATAATCAATTTCATCAGTTAAAAGATCCCTATTGCTATCACACTTTTTCATTTTTTTCTTCCACTTTTGATAAGTATCTCCTTTTCCAATCTGGTAAACAATAGCATTCCATTTTGAACATCCTCTTGCCAATAAAATTTATTCTAACATTCACCAACGCTTGTTCAAGATTCCAGCAATCGCTATATTCAGGCAATAATAAAACCCCACGTTTTGCAAATGAATCACTAATTTGTGGCTGTAATTTCACCAAAAACTCTTCAACATTATCAGGGCATGTAGGAAAACAATATGTTTCAAGATGTTTGATATTTTTTGCACCTCGAATAACCATAGTGTAACCGTGGTTAGGAGAGCTTAATAAATTATGCGGATAAAGGCCAATTCAACTCCAAAGGTGTATGGGGAGATAAAGATCAACTTAAAGAAACGAAGGGAATCTTTTATAACTGTTGGAGGTCTATTGAGACAATATGACACTATGAAACGAAGGCTGCAATATTAATAGAAGTGATGCAACTACAGGCAATGCGTTAGGGATATCTCAATAAGGATGGTGAGGTAAAGCGGACGATAATCAAGTGATAACG